TTATTGGGGGGAAAGGGATTGTTAGTAACAGGATCTAACAATCCCATTACTAGCAGTATACTCTATCAGGTCGACCTCCGTGCGGTTCCCCCTGGAATTTATCGTAATTAATTCTTGTTAAATTCATCACAATTGGCTAAATGACTTGCTTTCATCTTCACTGGTGCCTCGTCAGTGTATACTGATAGCGCAGACCGGGTTACCATTCCATTTTCACCAATTAAAAATATACCGCCATCTATCGGTCCATTTTCTTATTGCGATGAAAACTATAATATTTTACTCAAATTTTATTAAAATCGATCGACTTCGGAGATTAGCGAAAACGAAAATCGTGACGTGGCACGATTCGGTTTATTATATATTAAATATACTTAGTACTATATATATATTATATATACCTAGTATAATTATTTTCTCTATTTTATTATTACTATATATATACTCTATTCTACATTGTTCTATTACTAAATCACAGAAAATGTACCAAAATTGAAAGTTATATACCAAGTTAACTCTAACCCCGCCTAATTGAGATCCAACGGACCCATCCCAACTAAACAATTCCTCATTTACGTGGCGCACAGTCCTGAAACCTTTTTATCAGCGAAATGAACCCAAAAACAAAAGGTGTCGACAAGACATAACCCCATAAAAACGTCGGTTGCGCCTTAGCTAACCCATTTTTCATACGAACTCGTGTGCCTAGTAGTGATAAAATTTTTTGGGACTTCCCGTCCCTTTCGGGTTCGAATGCGCGGATTGATTTTATGGGTTTCCACCGATTAGAAAAGGTTAGGTAGCAAGATTTATACACTTGAGACGTAATCGACTGTTCCCTTTATATATATATATATTTTTTTTATAAGAACAACACAAATGTTAAATTGTGATTTTATTTAGACTTTGTACAAAAGTCGTTTGCTTGGGAGGGACTACCGCTGCTACCTTTGTCCCATTCGTGTTTCTACCATGAAGCAGTTGTGTTTAATGGCTGTGTTTCGGTTTGAAGGGTGTGATATGGCAATGAATTTACAGGGTAGAGTTATAAAACCTTAGTCCTTAGGAATGGCAACGCATGATGGGAACCGTGGGCGAAACAGTATACTCGGTTATGTCCACGGAGTATTCATGTATATAGGCGACGGTTACCACTTTCTATCAGGTGGGCTGTCAGCTTCTTTGCCATTCTAAGTTGCATACAAAAAAAAATACTAGTCACTGTGACTTATTGTTTGGGCGTATTGTAGATAAGCACCCGAGGTCTTCAAATGATCAAATTAAAAAAAAAAAAAACTACTTCAATTGTAAACATACATACAATATGAACAGCAAGATAATATTGTAGGCATATATACTCGTATACTACATATTAACCTGTATAGGTTTAAAAATATTTGAATTTACAACGCCAATTCGTGTTACCCAACAGATTTTGCTTCGCAAAAGGCAGTCTTTTGTAGAGCTCGAATCAATCATAATAGAATTAATACGAGATCAACAAAGTAGCTATCCAAATTTTTTATCATCACATATATTTTTTTTTTAATACAAAATTAGAATGGCAAACAAGCTGACGGCCTACCTAATGGAAAGTGGTACCCATCGCCTGTAGACATGCGTTGCCATTCCTAAGGACTCGGGTGTTCTTTCTCTGTACTCTGTAAATTCACGCCATATCCCACCCTTCAAACCGAAACACAGCCATGCAAACACAACTGCTTCACGGTTGAAACACGAATGGGACAGAGGTATCCAAGCAATCGACTTTTGTACAAAGTCTCCCTCTGGTAAACATTTTACTGCATTATTAACTTTTTAGTTAGTTAAGCGAAATACGAAACCAATTCCCAGTACCAGTATTTCCTAAGAACAAAGAGTGTTCCCGAACATTGACACTTTCAAGAAAAGAGCATCATACTCTTTCTTGAAAGACCAACAAATACACGTGCAATTTTTTCTCAATTAGGTAATATAGTGATTACCGTCGCCCATGACTGTGGTTGCCAATCCGCCTGCCAAGCGTGGCAACTACTGGCAAAGCCTCATGTTTAGCAAAGACTGATATGATAATAATGATTCAACTAGTTCCAATTAGTTTTATTTTTGTACCTGTTGAGTTATAAACATTGTTTTATTACAATAATAATAATTATTATTATTGTAATAAAACTCGGGCACTGTAGAGGGTGTTTTTGGTGGATTTCACCATACCGCATGACGAGAACCTCGTGAAAGCCGAAACCGAGAAGAAGAGAAAATATCTCGACCTGGCTCACGAGGTGACCGAAATGTGGGGGGTGGCATCTACCGAAATCATCCCAATCGTTATGTCGGTGAACGGTCTTATCCCAACCAGTCTGGAACAACATCTCAGACGGTTGGGATTCCGAGGCGACTCACTCCCGGGAAAGATGCAGAAAGCGGTGCTCTTAGATTCTGCCCGCATTGTACGCCGGTTTCTCTCCCTGGGGCCCTGAATCCCGGTCGACTGTGCTTCTGCCGGGGGTTAGTATGCCATCTCCTCTCCTTAAGAGGGGAGATGAGAATTTTAGTAAAATTAGAAAAAGAAATAATTAGTTTATTCATCTCCACAAATTACAGTGTCTTTTTTATACCACTGAAGTGGCAAACAAGCATACGGCCAACCTGATGGTAAGTGGTTACCGTAGCCTATGAACACCTGCAATATCAGAGGTATTACGCGTGCGTTGCCGACCCTATATAATTTACTTTATACAAAATACAAAATAAAAGTGTCGTAATTTGTGGGAGATCTGTAGACTAAACTAAGTCTTAACTTGTATCTTAGACACCAGGTCCCCTCCAATAAAGTTGTGACAATTCAAAGTAAAAGGTAGTTGCGTGGAGTAAAAATAAATTTGATTTAATATTAGAATAAAGCTAAAATATTACAAACTAAGCGTACAGTTCAAAAACATTCCGTACTTGTTTGGTACATATTCTGATTGTATTAAAAATAATAGAATTTTTAAACTAAAGTTGTTGAAATATTTGTAAGCAGTTTATAATATTTCACAATATAGTTAGGAACGTTTACAAAACTAAAGTGAAATAACTTCAAAGCATACCGGCTTCATCGACGCGCAATGTTGGAATTTTGTTTACTGTATTAACTGCGTAAAATTTTATTTATCCCAATTTTTTTTTTATACAACTTAGGCAAACAAAGTGACGGCCCACCTGATGGAAAGTGGTAACCGTCGCCTATAGACATGAGCAGTACCGTGGATATAACGAGAGTATACTGTTTCGCCCATGATACCCCCCATGCGTTGCCATTCCTGAGGTGTTATTCCTCTGTACCCAGTAAATTCATGCCATATCCCAGACTTCAAACCGAAACACAGCCATGCAAACACAACTGCTTCACGGTAGAAACACGAATGGGACAGAGATGCCCAAGCAAACGACTTTTATATAAAGCCTCCATTTGGTATATATATATATATATTAGTAAAAACAGGAGAAAAAATCAATGCAAGCACTATCAAGTACCTACATAACTATCCCTATTTATTTCCCATATCCGATATATAATCTCGAAGCACGCTTAAGCGAATTTTGATGCGGTTTTCACCATTACTAGTACCCTTTATTTATTAATAGCAAGGTTACTTACCTACTACGACTTTAATTGAAAATAACTAATGGAAGTAACCGCATCCCATGTTTAACAAACTTTACAAAGGATGCATCCCATTAATTTATTACCATACTTTAAGGAATAACAATAAAATGGTAGAATGGTGGAAGGTTTTTTATATGGGATGATAATGGAATGGTAACCCCGCCTGCGGTATTGGTATACACTGGCGGGTCACCAGTTAGCCCATCGCGATGAATACGCTTGGAATTCAGCACGATGGTTTCCAGGGGGGACCACGTGGAGGTCGACCTGACTGAGTATATTGCTAGCAATGCCCCCCCCCCCCTCCTGATGGAAGCTGTGTGGTCTCGGCATAGAATGAGCTAACCCTTTCTTTCTCATGTGCGTCGTAAGAGGCGACTAAGGGCGGTTAATGGTCATGGGATGGGCTATCAAAAACCTAACAACAGTTGTCAATCCACCTACCAAACGTGGCAAGTACTGGTAAAACCTTCTTTATGGAGAAGGCATATGTTCAGCAGTGGACAGTTAATAATTGACGGTATATTGTGGCAGAGCACCAGTGAGAGATGATAGGTGAGAATAAAAAAGCAGGTCAGTTAGCCAATCGTGAAAAATATAGCTCCAGGTGTATTCTTCACGATTGGCACACGATACTTAGTGCAATGTTTCCAGGGTGGGGGGCACGTGGAGGTCAACCTGACAGGGTACATTGCTAGCAATGGGAGTGGTAGTCTGCATTACTAACAATCCCCCCTCCAGCTGGTAGGTATACACCAGCCCTGGGTAGCAGACTAGGTTAGGTACAATTCCTATTAATTTATTACAACATTACTAAACAGGGGGAGAAGGGATTGTTAGTAATGGGGACTAGCAACCCTATTGTTAGCAATACACCGTATAGATTCGACCTACGCCCACGGTTCCACCTGGAGACCATCATAATTCATTCCTAGTGGTTTCATCACAGTGGGCTAACTGACCTGCCTTTCCATCTTCACCTATCATCCCTCACTAGTGACCTCGACCTGACCTGACTCGTCGGCGTATACTGTCATCAGGCGGGTTACTATTTCATTATCATCCATTAAAAACAGACTGAACAATTTACGCAAAACCCTACCAATCGGGTATTTCCCAATTCAAAAAGTTACAAAAATGTATTATTTAAAACCGTTTGGATATAGTTACTACATAACTTGACAGTTATGATAAACATTAAATATAAAACCGCTATGTTTATACCTAAATTTTATAGAAAAAAAATAGTTGCAAACGGTCAAATTAATGTTATACCTATCTACCATTGGAAAAAGAGAAATATATTTAATGTTACATAGATTAGGTATTCGATAGATTAAGTACAAACCTGCTAGCATTAATCTGTATAAATCCAATTCCAGATGCACTATAATTCCAGTTTCAACACAAACACATTACACTGAATTCTAACACCGTACACTGTCACAATAAAATCAGTAAGCACACAATAAAACCCAACGTTTTGTATTTTCGATCACCGAATCAGTGTTTTAGATGTTAAAGTCTGGATAACATCACTAGCTTTACGATTCAACGTGATTCGGTTTGAATAAAACGCGGATACATTCTCATTACATGCATACAACACGAGCGATAAAGCTCGACTGGCGGACTGGCGGCTAGAACAGTCGACGGTCGACGCGCGGCGCAACGTCGAAGTACCAAACTCAAACCAAACTAGAGCTTTCGATTTATTATCGATATTTTTTATAACTGTTATTTTTTTAAATATTATAACAAAATGTTTTCTATCTATTTATTTTTTACTATACGCTTTTTATGTATTTAAAAGAAAAAAACCAAGGAGAGATCAACACATTGCCGAAATAACTCAATCTAGACATGACTATTTACAGGAATTCATTAAAAACAAAAAATTAAATATTCAGGAAAGTTTTTAAAATTCCCATAATAGGTTCACGCAAGCAAAGCCTACGGCTTTATCAAAAATCAGCTAATTATTAAAAAAAAAATAACTGCTGACATTATTAAATTTAAAATTAATTGGAGCTCGTACCATGGATACATGAATGGATATGCCATATAAATTAGATCTACCTAATAAAAAAAACCCCCTAATTTATACAAATAATCGCAAAGAATAGAAAACATCCAGAATAATTAAAAATTAATATAAATGGACATATTTCCGGGAATGGAACACATGGTCATAGGTTCTTTTTTAAAGAATGATAATTGAATGCGCTACAGTATATGTTGACGGGGTACTAGTGAGGAATAATAGGGGATGACGAAAGCAGGTCAGTTAGCCCACCAAGATAAATTCGATAAGAATTAACCATGACGTTTTTCAGGGGGAACCGCGTGGAGGTCAACTTGAGAGGATATATTGCTAGCAATGATGCTATGCAGGGTAAACCGCTACATCATCATATACCTACTACGTGCAAATATATAAACACATACATTATACATTTTGATTACCTTGATTGTATCATAAAAATAGGGTTAAAAACGAAGGATTTAACAACAAACAAATTATTTGTATATTGGTGTATTTTACAATGCTTATTTGTGTTGTTCAATAAGGAAGAATTTCCTTAAATTCTCATATTAATATACCAATACACGTGCATATATATTGCGTGTATGAAACTCGAGTAAACCGGTAATTCATTGTAATAAAGATTTAGCAATATTGAAAATATGTCGACGTTGTAATAGCAAAACATATTAAGTACCATTCAGTATGTAGATTTTACCTGTTTGCTGTCACTTTGTTTTGTTGCCACAAAATGAAGGAAAGTAGATAGTATAGTAAATTTCTGATACGCTATATTATTTATTATTTATATTTTGACGTCATCGTTATCATCATATTAGTCGTTAAATACCTACTGTATATATATATATATATATATATTATTCAAGTTTAATTACCTAACATAAAATCAAACTCCACTTACAGCGATAACCGTGGCAAGGTGTCGGCAACTATTTGGATTGCTGCCGGTTTAATTTCCTCCCCGTCGGCAATGCTCGAGTCAATTTAACGAATCGGAAAGCGGGTATTCTATATTTTTGTAATTAGAGGCTGGATTCTCAGTATTGCGCCGTTTGATTGTACTGGCTTCAGATGTAAGCGTCGACTCTGTTGTGTTCTCATCTCGTTATGTTTTTATTAGCGTCAGCTTGTAATGGATTTTAACTTAGGCAAAGCGAACTGTTCCATGTTATTTCCATTATAAATGGGCTGTTAGATTATTGTCTTAGACGATTTTGGGTTTGTTTAATTTATTCGAAAGTAGTGTTTACCCCTAACTTTGTCTGTGTAATCATCGCGATTATATTAGTAGAGGACCTATCATGAAATATTTTCCGAAATTTCACGGCTGAACGGAACACAAATTTTATGATATAATTACATAATACTGTTTAAAAATAATAAAAATGTTAAAATATTCCTTTTGAGTATTATGGTAGGATTTATGATGAACGAAATGTTAAGCTCCATTCTATAGTCCGATTTCGGTACGAACAAAAACACAAAATTGTGTCCAAAAATTCGGAATTTCATTTTATAGTTGACTTCCAGTTTCATAGACTACGTGTATGCTCTTTTCCATCTCAAAAACTATATGCGTACCAAATTATTAAAACATTTGGTTGAGTCGTTAAGGCGCCAATAAGTAAAAAAATTATTACATTTATAACATTTGTAAGGATAAGTAGTAGTCGTTGGATTTTGCAAAAGTATTTGAATATATGGCGATAGATACTCTAGGTAACCATCTATTCGAATCTCTGTAAGATTTCAGATCTAAGAAAAATATTTAATATTTTTATTTAATCTATTTCATTGTGCAACAACTTGTTGTTTTTTATGTTATGTAAAAACAATTTCAAGATATTGCGATGACAACGACACACATAAAACAAAACATAAACTGTCACATTCAGTTACTCTACTAGATGCTTGACATGGATACACTTTGCCGAGCATATTGGAAACCAACGTGACAAGGAGCGCACCCATGCCATCTCTACTATTAATAATGTCATTATTATATTCTTGGTTACTGGATTAGTTTTGGATTTTGTTTACTTCTGCTACTATTAGTATACGTGCTACTGGCAATTTTTGATGCTAAGGACTGTCCAAAATTAATAAGAGTTTTATTTATAAGTTTCCCTATCTGTCACAGGTTATTATATCCATCAAAAGAGTCCAAGAGTCACACACAAATTTGCATAATAAGTTTTGGTATCAGGGAGATTTTTCGAGATATAAGCATCGAAAGTTAGTTATATGCTCAGAGTTTCGCTACGTAATGGAATTTGAAATGAAGATATTTTTAGAACGAGAGTTGTCGATATAACCAGCGAGATAGGCAAGTTCAAGTATAGCAAACCAGCGACATATATTGTAAAACTTACCAAAACGTACTGAAAATCTTTATTTTACTGTTAAAAGTTTGGTAACTACACATTATATATTAATGTAAGAATAACCGGATTCTCTTATGAGAATGTATCACATGACTAATGGTCCCGGATGGTTTGAAAACTAGTCGAGCATTTATGACTAAAATATACGTAAGTCAATCCCATTGGCCTTACATTAAAATCATTATTTTAATTTTTTTATTATTAGAAGACGCAATGTAAAATACCTTCTTCAATATAAAGATATCTTCATACAATTATGAAATAATCAAACACACTGTTTGTTTACGGTAATCGGTAATATTATAATAATGACAGTTAGTAAATGTGTATTCTTTTTTCCAATTTGAGAGCTAAGAAACTTATTATTACCTTAAAATATAAATACCCTGTACTTGATAATAAGACGACGTATGTCGACCAAATAGGCAACGTACTGAAGAGGGGCCAAATTAAAGGTACCCGTAACCGGCGAGCGTGTATGAAAAGATTGATAAACGTAGAAGAAGCGAAAGAGGTTTATTTGAATCAAAGCTTTTGGCGTTCTATTGTTTCTGCCTACCCTAATGGGAGACAGGCATGACAGATATGTATGTATGTGATAATAAGGTACAATTGTTTTGTACCTTTGACGGCCTGTGTTAGTAACATTAGAATTTTACTGAAAATTATACAATACTGATATAGATTATAAAACAGTAAATCTTGAAGTAAATGTATTTTCTGTATGCAGCAAATAAATCTAACTCAATCAACATTTCTAATGAGATAAATTCTCTGAATTCATAAAAACGTAAACAAACAATGATTACTCATTTGCAACTGTAAATAAAAATACAAACTTCTCTTCACTTCCCTTCTTGGAAACACCAATTCTCAAAATATTGGTTAAACACAAAGCTAACAAAATATCAAGTTGTCCTTGAACAAATTAATTAAATATTTGCACTGACAGTACTAATATAAATGGGCATAGCACCAATAAAATTAAACCCTGTATTTTAATGATTGCAAATAAGATAAAATTAATCCAATTCATAGTTGAGATTACTATGCAAATACATTGTTTATCGATAGGTATCAGTCAAACGGCGTATAGCATTGCCAGGATGAACTAAATTACACAACCGCATTGCCTAGTGCGTTAATTAAAGTAGACACATAGAGGCAAATAAATAATTACAAGTAAGTATATGTTAATTACAAATAAATAAATAAATTATCGACTTGTTTTTATCGATATTGTTATTTACGATACACTGCGTAAGCTCTATTAGCCGAATTACTTTTTAAACATCAATTTAAATTTTGACCGTTATTTTGTGATTGGCAAATTCGAATTGTCGAATTTATTTCGAATTAGGTTGGTGGTTGGTGGTGGTTGGACCTGCCATATAAAATTATAGATACGTTAAGTATTCATTAATAAAACATTACTGCCAATTTTCACCACACAGTTTTTAGAACAAATTGTTTGACACTACACATATGTTACATACGTATTCGTATCCTGGGCAGGGCAGATTACTTGTAATAAAGTCTAGTGGCCTCATTGCTAATACTGTATCCTATCAGATCGACCTCTACGCTGTCCTTCCTAGAGATTATCGTGATTTGATTCATCCTCACCTAGTATCAACAGTATTTACTGGTAACCAATCCATAGCGCAAGCAAGATCACTATTCACTTTTCGGTGATGAATTTAATTTTAATATAAAAAAAAAAACTCGTATCTTAGAGCCTATATTTTTTAAATTGAAAATGAAATCAGACCCAATGAGGGGTGAAGCGATGAGAATGAAGTCAGGTCAATTGGTACATCGTGAGGAATTCACTAGGAATTAAAGATTATGTATTCCAAGGTTCCAAGGTTCCGTGTGGGGGTCGACCTGATAAAATATACTACTATCAATAGAGATTAATCTCCTTATTACTAACAATCCCTTCTCCCCTTTCTTACGGCCTATTCAGATTTATATTTACTGATTGAGCCGTTAAAATACCAAACCACAAACTCATTTTAACATTTATAACATTAATAAGTATAATTAATATAATTTCCCGCCAATTATTGGTATTAGTAAGATTCGTTATCAAGTTATGGGCCCAGTGTTAGTATGATAGTATATTTTAATGAATGTATCTGTGTCATTCTATTTCACTAGTCATTCGTTTGCGGAAGCTACCCAGCATATCCATAAAGCCAGTGTATTCATCTATCACAATATAGACGCGTAACACCGTCAGA